TGTTGTTGTTCATTCGTTCAGTCGTCTCCGACTCTTCGTGACCTCATGGACCAGCCCACGCCAGAGCTCTCTATACAGCTAATATTATGTAATATAGTATTATATTGAATATCTTATATGAGGTTGTTTAAACTCTGGTTTAGTTGTTACACTAAATTACTGTGTCACAAAAGGATGCATGTCTAAAAAGTGTTTCACCAACATGAAAAGTCTGGAAAGCTCTATCTGGGAAACTCTCTTTGGTGTCAAACACCACTGTTCTCTCCAGTGTGGATTCTATGTCTATGTAGATTTCTACTCTCAGAAAAGCTTTTCCCACACATGATGTGTTTACAGGGTTTCTGCCCAGTGAGTCCTTTGATGTGAACGTAGATTTGAACTCTGAGTGAAGCTCTTTCCACACTCCAGGCATTTATAGGGTTTCTCTCCAGAGTGAGTCCTTTGATGTGAATCTAGATTTGAACTCTGAGCAAAGCTCTTTCCACACTCCAGGCATTTATAGGGTTTCTCTCCAGTGTGAATCCTTTGATGTGAACGTAGATGTCCACTCTTAGTAAAGCTCTGCCCACACTCCAGGCATGTATAAGGTTTTTCCCCAGTGTGACTCCTTTGATGTAAACGTAGTTTTCCACTCGTAGAGAAGCTCTGCCCACACTCCAGGCATATATAGGGTTTCTCCTCAGTGTGAATCCTTTGATGTAAACGTAGACTACCACTGTGAGTGAAGCTCTTTCTACACTCCAGGCATGTATAGGGTTTCTCCCCAGCGTGAATCCTTTGATGTGAACGTAGACTTCCACTCTCAGTGAAGCTCTTCTCACACTCCAGACATCTATAGGGTTTCTCCCCAATGTGAATCCTTTGATGGGAACGTAGACTTCCACTCCTAGTAAAGCTCTTTCCACACTCCAGGCATTTATAGGGTTTCTCCCCAGTGTGAATGCTTTGGTGTTTATGTAGAACTGAACTGTGAGCAAAGCTCTTTCCACACTCCAGGCATGTATAGGGTTTCTCCCCAGTGTGAATCCTTTGATGTGAACTTAGATCTGAACTTCGAACAAAGCTCTTTCCACACTCCAGGCATGTATAGGGTTTGTCCCCAGTGTGAATCCTTTTGTGTCTATGTAGATTTCCACTTTTAGTGAAGCTCTGCCCACACTCCAGGCATGTATAGGGTTTCTCCCCAGTGTGAATCCTTTGATGTGAACGTAGACCTGTACTCCCAGAGAAGCTCTGCCCACACTCCAGGCATGTATAGGGTTTCTCCCCAGTGTGAATCCTTTGATGTCTACGTAGACCTGTACTCTCAGTGAACCTCTTTCCACACTCCAGGCATGTATAGGGTTTTTCCCCAGTGTGAATCCTTTGATGTGAACGTAGATTTCCACTCTCAGTGAACCTCTTTCCACACACCAGGCATGTATAGGGTTTCTCCCCAGTGTGAATCCTTTGATGTGAACGTAGATTTCCACTCGTAGTAAAGCTCTGCCCACACTTCAGGCATGTATAGGGTTTCTCCCTCCTGTGAATCCTTTGATGTGAAAGTAGATTTCCACTCGTAGTAAAGCTCTGCCCACACTCCAGGCATGTATATGGTTTCTCCCCAGTGTGAATCCCTTGGTGTTTATGTAGATGTCCACTCCGAGCAAAGCTCTTTCCACACTTCAGACATGTATAGGGTTTCTCCCCCGTGTGAGTCCTTTGATGTAAACGTAGATTACCACTCCGAGCAAAGCTCTTTCCACACTCAAGGCATGTATAGGGTTTTTCCCCCGTGTGAGTCCTTTGATGTCGCTTCAGATCACCCCTCTGAGTGAAACTCTTCCCACATTCCAGGCATATGAATGCTTTCTCCTTCATGTCAGCCATGATATGGGTGATTGTAATATAGATGCTTCAGTCTTCTTGTTTCTTTCCTTTACTGTACGCGAGGTCAAGATTTCAACAAGACCCTCACCTAGAGAGAAGTTCTTCTTCCTATACTATTGATTTCATTGCTGCATCCAAGGGGTGGCTCCATGGAATCCTCATTTCCCTGGTTAAGAAAGAAGCAAAAGATAAAGGATGGAGGCGAGAAACTTCCTGTACCTCCACGATTTCCCCCTTTCTCTTTATGGGTCATGTTGAAAATGGAAACACCCAGAAATGCAAACATCATGGTCTTCAGAGGTTCTGTTGGACAACGAAGCAAGTGGAGTGTCTCTATCCCTGTGGAATAATGTCCAGGGTGGGAGAAAGAACCATTGTCTTCTTGAAGCATGTGTCAATGGCCCAGCATTTCTGCATTTCAAATAAGATTCTGTGTCCAGCATTCAGAAACGGGAGAACTCCAGACAGCAAACAATCAGGTGCCAACTAACACCACCCAAACAGAGGGTTCCTCCAGGCAACAGAGGCCAGGCCGCCTCTCTGCAGATATCCTCACTGATTGATTCTGCAGATTTCATGGCTACTCCAATGCTAATTTAAGCTTGTTCACTGCAACGTTCACCCTTGCTTCTGTCAGGATTATTGAGGTATGCATGTGTGTTTTTCAATGTGTTTCTATGTAATTCAAGATGGATTAAGATGTGTTTCAAGATGGATTCTATTATGTTCAATTGTGTATTAGAAATACTGTGAGAAGCAGAGAGAAAAGTAACCTTGACAGAAGTGAGATAACAGGTTCTCTGGCTGTGGGAAGAAGAAGGAGTATCCGGTTACAGCCAGAGGTCTGATAAGCAGATGTTCTGAAACTGTTTATGCTGTGCTTTGTAGTTCTTGATGACAGCCCGCTAAGAATGGACGTGTATAGATGTGCTTAGTAAACTTTTGTGTTTTTTGTAACTGCAAAACAGCAGAGTCCTGATTTTTGGAGTCCTGTGTGTTGATCTAGCAAGCTCTTCCGCTGCGCATATACCCCCAAATTCTCTGACAGCTTCAAACAAACAAGGGTTCTTTCTCCCGCCCTGGATATTATTATATTAATATATACACTATTCCACTTGCTTCATTGCGAACAGAAGCTCTGAAGGTGCCATTAGCCACAGATGCAGGCAAAACTTCAGGAGAGAATGCTGCTGGAACATGGCCAAAAATGTACAGCAACCCAGTGATTCCGGCCATGAAAGCCTTTGACAAAACATTATTAAAAACATGCCTCGTTAAGAGATATTTCTCTCCCAGGGGCCAGTTAAAGTTCTGCTAAAGGGTGAAAAATTGTAACTTTGCCAGTGGTCAGAGAAGCCTTTCAGAATCAGGAAACATTTGGGACCTTTTGGAGACCACTTGAAGGCTGAATTATGCCTTCCTTCTTTCCCTTTTTTTCCTTCTTTCTTGTTCTTTCTTGCCTTCCTCCTTGCTTAACCTGCAATATCATTGATCTATTATTGAGCCATGGCAATTAATAGGAGTAGTAGTAGTAGTAATAATAATAATAATAATAATACCAACAACCCTGGAGCTGTAGTTTTGCGAGCCCTTTCGCCTCTTCTGCCCAATAGTGTTGGCGCATTGCCAAACTACAAACGGGAGTGATTGCCATATTAATATATGTTTTAATTATCATATTTTTAACCATCATATTGTTTTTATTTATAACTAGCTGTCCCCTGCCAGGTGTTGCTGTGGCCCAGTCTGGTGATCTGGAAAATAAAGTAATGAGAAAGTGTTGGTTTCTAATATATGTAATTCCTTTTTGCTTGTGAGTAAACAGTATTTCTTGTTGTTTCTTTGTCAGTGTTGATGTGGAGAGTGCCTGGTTTGCCTCCTCTGGAATATGCAACATGTCATAGTACTTCTTTAAGGGTCTCTTTCAAATCTATGATACTATATCTGTGTGAGAGAGAGAATCGTATCTATCTATCTATATTTATGACTGGATGGCTCTTTGTCAGGAGGGCTCTGATTACATTTTCTTGCCCTGGTGAAGGGAGTTGGACTGGGTGGCCTTAAGTATTTTCTCTTGGTCATGGGGGTTCTGTGTGGGAAGCTTGCCCCATTTCTGTCGTTTGTGGGTTTCAGAATGCTCTTTAATTGTGGTGAACTATAAATCCCAGTAACTACAAATCCCAAATGTCAAGGTCTATTTCCTCCAAACTCCATTTGTGTTCATATTTAGGCATATGGAATTTTTGTGTCAAGTTTGGTCGAGATCCATCATTGTTTGAGTCCACAGTGCTCTCTGGATGTAGGTGAACTACAACTCCCAAAC